TTCAAATTCTTCATCCCACAATGTCCTGGGTACCCACTTGACCAATGAAAAAAGCCAGGGTAAGTGCATATACAAGCCACCAAGAAATCTAAGCAAAGCCTAGGGGAGGAGATACAGGAGAAGCCCACTGAAAGAGTACTACAATAGGCTCATCTTTAGGCCTTTCTGGATGGACAGATGGAGGAGGAGATTTTCCCTACTTCCACCAATTTCTTTTACTTTCAAATGAACTTACTCTGTTTTACACCCCACCCTACCCCATTCCCCACTAAAAAAGGAGGAGGAATGATAAGGGCAGAAAGAGACATAGATGAAAGTTTTACTCCCAAGAACACAGCTTGTTTAGACTTGATTTTGGAAATATCTATATATTTTACAAAATTTAAGAAAAATAGTGCCTAAAAATCAAAACCAAAAATGAAACAAGTCCATGTATCAAGTTGGGATATAATTTCAAATTGGAGTAGTTTCAGAAACACATGTAATATTACTGTATCTCCGCAGCAGTTTATACTCTTTGCACACACAAAAAATAAGATAAATAAGTTGCAGAACTATTTAACACTTAAGTACTTTAACACTTAACTAAATTAAGATTTTTCAGTAACTACATTGTTGGTGGAGCATCAGTGTTATTATTCTATTTTTCATGTTTGTATATAATACAGACAAAGCAAATAAGTAATGAGGTTATTCTTAGGAATCAGGACTTGAATGGTAGGGAAAATGAACTGTTATAAAAATGCCTTAATCCTAAATTTGAATCAAAGTATCAACATAATTACATGGTATAGTTTCTTTCCAAAAACAAAACACAACTACACCAAAAAGAGCTATTTTCTAGTTCTGTTATCTAGAAACATAACAAGAGACAGACAGGGGAAATTTAGCAGTGAGCATGCTTAGAACTATTTCTTTGTGGTTTCTAAGTACCACTGCCCCCCAAAAGAAGTAGTCTTCAATGACGGGGTAAAATGCATATCTGAAATGTGAAATGTTCAATAGGAGCCCAGAATAGCATAACATTCCAGTAAGGAAGCTGGATCATTCCCCAGAGAAATGTCAGAAAGCTGAAGGAATGTCAAAAAGACTCAGAAATAAAGGCAAAGAAGCTTCTATTGGCCTAAAAATGCAAAATGGAACAAATGTAGAATGGATAAGAATTGTCATTGTTGGGCACTAAAATATACTACAGTGACAAGGTCTAAGTCAAGTTGTTCTTTATTACTAAAATCATTATCAATGTCTTTGTCCTCACAAGTTTTTATGATCAGTGTGATTGCTGGAATATAACTCTGAGAAGGAACATTGTGCTACAAGGACTTGGTATTGGGCAACCACAGGTACCCTCAAAATTCATCTTGAATTTGCAACTGAAGTCACATACTTCTCCAGAAGTACCCAGACAATGAGTGAACAGCGTTTAAGTTTGTTCATTTCTGCCCAAGGCAGTACTCAAACCCAGTCTTCTCACAAGGAAGGAGAGAGGAGACACAACACTGGATGCATTTTTAAGAATGCTCATCTTCAGATGTTGCACTGTGGTAGGAGCATTTTTAGGAATAACATTTATCTGCAGACTTTCATGGTTCAAATATATCAGCTAGGAAAGTGATCATTTTGAATGCACTGTTTTTGTAAGAGACAGAGTACATGTTCATGAGACTAAGATCTAAAGAATATTAGTGTAGAGTCAGACAGGGCAGAAAAGTACATAAAACTCCATCTCCAAAATAACCAGTATAAAGCAAAGTGGGAAGCATGACCCAAGTCATAGAGCGCAAGCCAAGCAAGTACAGGCCCTACATACAAGTTCCAGTACCACCCAAACAAACAAAAAAGCTACAGTGACAATGAGGAGAATTAACATGATTTTACATACTAGACCTCAACTTTGCCACTACTCCATTTATTTAAAAACAGTTGAGTGCTGGTGGCTCATGCACATAATCCTAGCTACTCAAGAGGCTGAAATCTGACCATCATGGTTCAAAACCAGCCTGGGCAGGAAAGAATGTGAAATACTTACCTCCAATTAACTACCAAAAAAGCCAGAAGTGGAACTATGGCTCAAGTGTAACAGCACTAAGTCTTGAGCATAAAAACTCAAAGGACAGTGCCCAGGTTTTGAATTCAAGGCCCAGGATCAGCACTGATAATCATAATCATAATAGTAAAAACCAATACATTTTTTGTGTATCTCTTTTTTCGCACCTGTACTAGTGTTTAGACTCACTTGTTCAGTAAGTGCTCTACCACTTGAGCCACACCCTCAACTTCTTTGCTTTTAGATTTTATTTTTCAGTTAGGATTTTGTATTTTTACCTGGCTAGCCTAGGACCATGATCCTCTCACCGATGCTCCCTACATATATGGGATTACAGACATGGTCATCATGGCCAGCTGAGAGGGGGCCTTACCAACTTTTTGTCTGGGCTGGCCCTGAACTGTGATCCCCCTAATTTCTATCTCCAAAGAAGTTGAGATAACTGGTTTAAGCAACTACAGCTTAACTACACAAGACATTTTCAAAGTCTGAGTAAAAAAATAGTTTTTGACATAGATAAATGGATGATTAATAGATAGATATAGATATAAAGATATCATTAAGGTTAAGGATTGAAATCAGGCCTCACAAACGCTGGGCAAGGCTCTCCATGAGCCACACCCCCCCCCCCCTCCAGCTCAGAAACATTTTCAGCTCTCCATGTTACAGCTTCATTGTTGAATGTAGTTGTTTCTCAGCCCATATAGCTATTAGATTTAAATTAAATAGTATTTAAAATTTAGTTGTGGAGTCACTCTAGCCAAATTTCTGGTATTCGATGACCTCAGGTAGCTGGTGACAGCTGGACATGCCACTTTAATACAATCTCCTCCACCACCACTCCCCTCCCCCTCCCACAACATCACATAAAATGTACGTGGAATGGAAGTGGCAGTCCTCTGGAGAAGAATGTCAATCCACATTAGTTTTTCTGAGGACCAATTGTCCTTAACAGCAAACTAAAAAGTCTTGGAGAACATTTTTATGATAGATTAACAGATCTGTCAAACATAAGAGACTGTACATTCAGTTAGTAAGTAAGCCTGAAGCTTCATGATCATCTTTTTAAAACTCCTCAAAAATTCACAGCTCAGGAATACACAGGGGTTTTTGTTTGTTTGTTTCTTGCTTTTTTGTTTTTGGTTTTGGTTTTGGGGTTTTTGTTTTTTTTTTTAAGTAGAGTGCCTCCCCTTAATGTGAAAATGGAAGAATCAAAGCAAATGTCTTACTGAGTAATTAGTCCTTCAATAATTCACATGAGTAACAGGTCATTTGGGGGGTTAACCCGGCTTTTTGACCACACGGTCTGCTGACAGATGTCTGGGTTCGGATGTACACAACAGAACACGGGGTATCTGTTTCACGTGCATCTGTTCCTGAACAGCTTAGGCAGATTAATACTTTGCATATATCCTGCTCGGCTAAGTTCTACATAATCACCAAGTCTCATTGTTTTAAAATTGATTGGTATTTTTTCCTTGCTTTCACATTTTTCCACTTCATCTTTATCATTGTTAAGTTTCTGGTAAGTAAACATGTTTGTATAAACTGAAAGCTCAAGAAAATTATCTTATAAGAAATACTTTGAAGACTATTCTGAAGCTCAAATTATTAGGTTTTCCAGCCATTGCTGTAATTGAGCTGAGTTAAAAACTGTGGTGGGGATAATATTTTTTGGAAGAAAAAAAAGAACAAAAGTAACATGAGATTAGAAGGATGTGGAAAATTAGTTGTAAGCAATCATTAAGATTTGAACTCTTTCTTTTATTTGTAAAATGTTTCACACATAGTGTCCTAATACTGACTAAATCAATTATGAAAATCTAGACCAAGACATTTGAAGAGATTACTTGAAAATAAAATGAAGGTAAGACGAGAAAATGAATGAAAAAATATCTGCTTACAACCAGCCTTGATTAAACTCTCTTCTTCAGACATATGTCTACTTGCCTTCTAGAAGCAATACCTGTAAAGAAGCAATTGCCAGTCCCTCGGATTCATTAGGGCTGAAAAGTTCCTGCTGTAAAACACAATACGCACACCAGACGGTTGACCCCATTGACCATTCAAACCTTACTCAGATTTCTCTCAGTGGACAAAATACTCAGTGTTTTTCTTTGAAAGGCAGCTTCACGGGTGGTTAGAACTGGTAGCACTTTGAGACAGGCCACAAATCCTTTATTTTTCAGGTGAATAAACCGTAACTCAGAGGGGTGAACCCACTTGCCCAAGTCAGTTATACACCTTGCTCTTTGCAGAGGCAAGATCCTGGGCCTGGGACTGTCCTTCAAGGCATACAGGAGCAGCTACATACTACTGGGGGCAGGGAGGTCACCGAAGACCTGGCAATGTCTTTTCCTATTAAAGCTTCTGTCCTCTGAGAAATTATGGCATGGCACCTATGGCCTGTAATCCTAGCTATTCAAGAGGCTGAAATCTGAGGATCAAGCTTCCAGTCAGCTGAGGCAGGAAAGTCTGTGAGGCTCTCATTTACAGTTCACTAGCAAACACTGGAGAGCGTGGCTGTGGCTCAAGTGGCAGAGTGTCAGCCTAGAGTGGAAGAACTAAGGGCCAGGGCCCAGGACAGCGCCTGGGTTCAAACCCAGGATGCCCAAAGGCGAATCCCGGCGGAGCCCCTTCCCGCCTCTGTGGTCGCCTCTCCTGGCTCCCGCTTTCCTTTGAGGATGCCAGCAGAAGCAGAGTGTGACGTGGGTCCGGGCTAGGCACCGGGACGCGGACAGCCGGGGGGAGGCGGCTGGTAGCAGGAAGGGTTTTGCAGCTGGGCAGGAGGTGGCGGCTGGGGGTGTGGGGAGAGAACGCGGCCGGGCGCCGAGCAGAGCTGGAGCCCCCCTGGGCCGAGCGGAGAGGGGCGGGGCCGGGCCGGGGTGGCCGAGTGAAGGAGAGGGGCGGCCCCGGGGGCGCCTGGGCACCAGGCGGGCGGGGGCCCTCTCACCTGCGGGGCGCTCGGGCAGAATGGGGCGCCAGCTCAGGGCGCGCTCGCTCAGCACCACGTCGCAGCTGCCCCTTCCGATCTCGAAGATGCCCCGGAGCAGAATCCGCTCGGCCTGGGGCCGCGCCGTGGGCCCGGACGCCGCCTCCGCGGGGGGCCCCTTCCACCTCGCCGCGCTCTAGGGCGCTCACCCGGCTCCTGCCTCTCCCGAGGGGCATGGCGAGCCCGGGCCCGGGGTCTGCGGAGCCCTAGGCGGGAGGCTGCGGCAGCCACGCTCCAGCGGCGTCCGGTGCTGCCAGGGCAACGGCGCGTCCCGCGGAGGCCCGGGAGGAAGGCGGGCGGGGCGGACCGGCGGGATGGCGGGGGGGGGGGGGGGGGGGATGGGGGGGGGGAGGATGGGGGGGTGAGACTAGTCCTGCGCCTGGCCCTGACAGCCGAGGGCTGGCCACCCACCACAAAAGGTTGATGAGCAGGAGCTGGGGGGAGGGGAGGACTTTCCGTCGCTAGGTCCCCACTGTGCCATGGGAGCGTGGCAAACCCGGAGTCCGGTAAACCTGTGCTGCTCAGGCGCAGCGCGTCCGGGCGGCGACTACTTACGGTGCACAAGTTGTTGAACAGGACTGGAAGGGGCCCCAAATCACTCCATTTCTGAGAAGTTACTGTTATTGTGGCGAGACGCTGGTGTTGTGAGATGCCCTGGCAATGTAACTGGAGTTGCATGGGTTTTGTCAAGAGTGGTGTGAGGTGCTGTTCTCAGACCCAGTTTGCATGCTGAGGAGACCTGTTCTTCAGACAGTTGGGATACAGTGGGAGCTTACACCACACACACACCCCTCCTCAGATGCCTGGTGTGCATACACACATGTGCATCTGACAAATTGTTAAGATAAAATGCCTCTGTGATCGAAGACATTAAGGTCCTGCTTTCTCCAAGCTCCCACCTCCTTAGTGTGGAGCTAGCTGTCCAGCAGAAAGATGACCACGAGTAGCTTATTTGTTCTCCAAAATGCTAGGTTTGTAAAGTAGTTCTAAGGGAAAGAAGAACCTTGGGCCATTCACTATTTTTCCAGAGAGCTTGGACTCCTGAAATTAGCTGACAATTTGGAAAACGTAAGAAAGAGTCTGCAGGCTACTGTTCTCAATCTTGGCTCAATGCAAGTTACCTGGGGAGTTGTTGGTTAGTTTGTTTTTAAATCCAGTTGATGAAGCTACGGTCAAAGATAGTTGGAATCTCTAGAAGTGGGATCCAGATTTTTAAGATTTAAAAAAAATAAAATTCTCAAGGAGATCCAGCATTTAACAAAAACTGGGACTCGTTTCTGTAAGTAGAATAACCAACACCAGGAGTGGAGGCAAGCAGGAAGAAAGTGAGTTCCCATGAAATTGTTTGGAATACAACATCCACATGTATGGAGCTGTAACAATAACAACCCCTCCCCCCAATAACTGATATCAGCCAACTTTAAAAGAAAACTAAGTGAATCACCAAGGAAGAAGTAGATTGGGAGGTAATGCAAAAGGCTTTTTATGAAGTCATAATCCTATGGAGAAGTCAGATGATTAAAAAGAAATAAATTCATGCCATTATGGACGTGGGCCTGGTGTGCTTGTGGCTAAACAATTCCCTTAGACACATGGCCACTTTTCACTCATCTTCATGGCCTCACTGCAAAGTCAAGCAGAAAAGGTAACTGTAGAAGAGCTGCTCCAAGCTCTCTGCTCTGAGACTTCATAGGCCTTGCCAAATCCCCTTTGGACATAAAGCTCCAGTGTGCCAGTTAAGCTAGCGCTCTTCCTGTTCAGTGCTCTAAAAACAAATACCCAGGCTTCCACAGTAAGCACAGAAGAGCTTCCATTTGATCTGATCGCCATGAGCTGTTTCTTGGAGCAGGAGTGCAGCTGGTGCTAAACCCATGCAGGCTTCAGGTGTTGGCTCAGCACTCATTGGTGGGAAAGGGATGGTGTGCCCTTCACAGGATGAGTTGCATGTGTGGAGTCAGTGTTTTGTATTCACAGCTGTCAGCCTATCTACATGATTTGAGCTCACTGGCATTTCAAAATCTCAGAAGTGCCAGGACAAATAGACCAAGGCAATGGCTAGTTCTGAGAACCTTTGAAAAAAAGGCAGGTTGCCATTACTTATTTAAATCTGGCCAGGAGCAGACAACCTTGGTCTTGATTTGTCTTGAAGATGAAAGTAATTCCCCTGGACAGACCCTCCTCTTCTAGAGCTCTTAAAACAATTATCACTAAGGCCTTCAGTTCAACACGCCTGTTTGTGAGTACAATGCATCCTGACAAAAGCTTTTCTAGAGCTCTAAAAATTGTGCTCCAGACCTATATTCTCAGGATCTGTTTACCCACGGGGGGCGGGGGGGGGGAGAGAGAGAGAGAGAGAGAGAGAGAGAGCACTCAGTTCCATGTTTTATATACTGTCCAGGAATCCACAGGGAATTCCATCTGCCTCAGTCTCCTGAGTTTCAGATATGGTGTCCATCTCTTTACCTGTCACCTTCACTTGGCTGCCCATTAAGTATCTAGACACATCTAAAACCAAACTCATGATTTTCATCAAAAACATGTTCTTCACAGAATTTATCAAATTAACAATAGATGTCATCAAAATCTGATATCATCTTTGTCTTCACTTTCTCATATTTCACATCCACCCCACTAATAATTTCTGTCCATTCCACCTACAAAAACTATTCCTCCCAGCCTGTGCCCAGCCTTACCTGGCCTTTGCCCCTCTCTGGTGGGTGTATCTTCCATCTGGGCTTTTCTTTCACTCTGCATTGGCACTTCCAACTTAGGCTATTTTCTACTTAGGAGCTGCCTTGCCCTTTGAAAAGTGATGAGGGCTTCACGATCAAGGATCACTCCCTGCGTATAACCTTCCAGGGAATTACCATCCTCTTAGAATACAAACAAAATGCTTAGCAAGGCTTCAAGGCAAGATTCTTTATAACCTAGCCCCTAAATATTGCTCCAAAATATCTAGTAATGTTTTCTCCTTGCTCAGTCACCCAAGCTGTCTTGTTTGTCCTCATATTTACTGTGCATAGCCCCTTTTCAGGGCATTAGCTCTTGCTGCTTCCCCTGACTAGAATCCCTTCCTACGTTGTTACCAATACTGAACCAGATGTCTCATCATTTTGCTTACTTTTCTTGAGGGTCACTTCCTCAACAGACTATTCATGAGCATCTTATATCCTATAGTACTGTGGATTACTTTCCCATTGCTGTAAAAATGAGTTACTGCAGATTTAGTGACTTAAAAACCAAACATTCCTGAAGATGAAAAAACTCAAATCCATTTTACTACACGAAAGTCAAGTTCAATTTCTTGAAGAAATATGGTAGCAGAATTCCCGTTCCCTACTGCCATTCTGAAAGCCAACAGTTAGACTCTTCCCTCCTCTGCTTATATCGTCTCTCTCTCTGATATTAACCTTTCTCCCTTCCGCTTAAAAGGAAACCTGTAATTACACTGGGCCTGCCTAGATAGTCCTTAACTCAGTTGCATTTGTAAAGTCCCTACTGCTATATAAATAACATTGGCAAGTCTTTGATAAGTCATAAATACCGTTAGGTAACTATTCATCTCTACTAGACCCTGCTTTATTTTTCTTTATAGAAATAATTACCTGTTATATATGTTTAGTTTATGTGTTTACATCTTTGTATTTTGTCTAGCAGCCTCATTGAATGAGTTAATACACTTAGTAACAAAAGTAGAATATGAGAACCACTAAGCAAATTTAAGTAGTATTAATGATGGGTTTTTTAGAAATAAGCTCTGTTGGAGGGGAGAAATTCCCAGTTTGTAGCATAGACCCTAGTATGTAGTAAGTGCTCAGTAAATATCCAACCAAAAGAAGGATTTTTGAAATGTATCTGAAAAAAATGAGGCCAAGGTACCACAAAATTTCTCCTTACTTCCTGAAGATCACTTCTCCCATGAGTAATTTACATGGGTGCCAATCATAATCTCAAAAGACCCAATCCTGAATGCTGTAGTTCCAAATGTTGAAAGCAATAATGACAAGTCCAGAAAGCCTGAAATCCCCAAAAATTAAAATGCCTAAAAACACAGTGTTCAAAGATCAAAACCTGAATGATAAAATTCTGAAAGTCAAAATCCTCAAAATGGCAAATCCCATGGAAAATAAAAGGGTACAAATAAGCTTAGAATAACAAATCTTGAGAAAAGAGATTGGCCATGTATTATATCAATGACAAAAACTTTAGTTTTAACCTTCTAACTCATAAAATTCCAGCAACTTTTAATGAATAGAGTCTTATTTGCCTGAAGCAGATTGTGAAGTTACTGGTTCAAAATTAATGTCTACATCAGGGGACAAAAGTTATTATGCAATATCTTACTTGAAAAGTGTTTGAGGCAGAGTAAACAGCAATAACAGAGGCCTTCAATGGGAATGGAATTGGCTTAACTGAAGAGCATTTTTTAAAAGCTGGTATGTCAGGACACAACTATAGTAAGAATGAGCAGGTGGACAGGGTCCAGGTGACATAGAGTCCCACAGGTTATGGTATAAGTTTGGATTTTGTTGTACCTTCAGTGACAACCTCTTAAAAACATTTTGTAAACTTGAGTTTTAAAAAACAATAGTTGATGGTGAATTAGCATAAGAACTCATTTGTTACACAAACTCCAAACTTTGAAGCCAACAGACTTTGGAAGATGAAAGGAAGAGTTTAATATCTAGTGGCCAAAGTTCACATCCATTTAGGTTGGTCCCAAGCGGGATGAGATCTCTTTGTGTCTTGTCCCACTGCAGTGTCTTTGTTGGCTGTGGATTTCTCTGCTTCCATATGAGACACCAAGAAGTGATTTAGACTTCTGCAGACCATTTGCTGGCCTGTGTCTCTGACTTTGCCTTACCTCATCTGTAAGCTGGGATGCTTTGTTTCATGGCACACACGGGTCTACCTGGAAACATTGCTAGCAATAGAAGAGAAATTTTATGGTCCTCCACTCAAATACCCAAAAGCCAGGTATGTAGAGTAGGTGATTCCTAACCTATCCAAATCCATTCCAAACATAATAGACTATGTTACTATTATATTTGTGCTCTTGCTATTTGATGCTCTGAAATACCCAAGCTATAGCCACAACTGGAAATGCAATGCTCAGACAGCTTCCTGAAAATGTGTTGAAAGAAGTTTTGGTGTGCAAATGTTATCTAATCAAATA